TGTGTTATGTCATACGTATGCTTATCGAGCCACGTTTGTGGCCCTCAATGTCCCTCAGTGTGAGTCCATGCGCTGGGGCCTAGTCAACCTATATAACATCACTCCCTTAGAGAAAACCAACTCTTCCTCTCCCAGTACTCATCATTTGCCAATAGTTCCTCAGCTAAGGTTGGGACTGTTCACTCATTTCCTCTCTTCTATGCTGGGCTTTTCCCATACATAAACATTAGCTTATATTTAATAATCTTTCAAACTCTGACTACTTATTGTCTTAGCCACATGACTGAATAGACTGCTAAGACAGGGCAAGTACAGTTTTCTTACGGCTCTTGGAGGAATAGAAAATACCATTTGATCGTTTGCCCCTTGTGAACTGGAAATGTAGCATTTGTGATGCAGGGTAAGGATGGGTATGTGAGACCATGCTTAAGCAAGCTTCATAGATGATGTTGTGACTTCTTATTGCATCATGTCAGTTTTAATGATGTCAAATTTGGTCACTGGGTGAAGGTGATGACTTGCAGAAATGTTCAGTGCGAGAATTTCAGACTCCACAGTGGATTGAGAGGCTTGGTACTTGCGCCCAGCTCATTGCTTTGATCACACTTGTGGGTTTTGATCACACTTGTAAGCTGGAGAATATGTCCAATACTGTAGGTTTCCTAATTTCATGTCAAAAAATCTTCTCTCCAAAGAGACAGTGTTATAAATCATTTACAGGTTGCACTAGGAAGGTTTTCTTGTCAGAATGTTGCTGAAACAGGCCTCATGAATTAATGCTATTGCTACAGACTTTCAGAAGACATATGAGAAGCAGACTTGAATAGTCTCACTTGGAAAAATGTGTGCTCCTCATGGCAATCTTTTAGAGGAAGAGCGTGCCCTGAGTTCTTTGCAAACTTTGGATTGTGTACGAGTCATTTGAAGTTGGTGTAAGTTCTCCCGAGTTGATATATCTCTGACGTCTATCACCTTGCTGTTTTATCATCCATACCATATAGTAGTTAAGTATTCAAAGGGGTCTTGTCTCCTCTTGACCATTTTTTAATTCTTAAGATGACTTTAGGGCACTTCCTAAATCCTAAAGCTCAAATTATAATTTAGTTAAAACCCCCACATTTCTAGAGACCAGAACAAGGAAAAAAAGTAGAACAGTTTTCCTTGTGTATTCCAAACAAATGGGAAGAAAGGCAATTTAAAGAGAACCTCGATCATCACAATGCATTAATATGAGGCATCATACTTTTGAGCTCCCTCTTTGCTCTAAAGTTTTATTTACTTTGATGTTGACTCATGGAACGTCTTTAAGAATTAATAGCTTGTGTTCATTTTTTTGTCAGTCTTTGTGAGTTTTTATAGAGTGTCTTTCAAGTATTTGAGAAGCATGAAGGATCTGTGCTTTATTTTACATAAACTCACAAAAACAAGTTAACGTGAACAGGTGGGGCACATATTGAGTGGGTGTGTCTCAAGCCAAGACTTCTCAGGTTTGCCAGTCTATGGAAGTTATTTAAGGAAAGAACAGCTGTCTTTTTGGGATGGATCTTGTCTCACCTTTTTGTCTTTGTGAAAAAAATACTCAAGGACAGAGATATGATATATCTTGCTCAGATTTTCAGAGGATTCGGTCTATGGTCACTTGGCTTTGCTTCTAGGCCCATGAAAGGTGAGGCAAAATATCATTGCAGAAGGATATGGTAAGAGGCAGCTTCTCATCTCATGACGGCTAGGAAGAGGGGGAGGGGAATTAATATACCCTTCAAAGGCACAGCCCTCCTGACCTATTTCGTCTAGTAGACCCCAGTTCCTAATAGTACATTCAGCTGCGGACTCCATTGATGAAGTAAGCACACCAGCTAGAGACCAGCTCTTCAACACAAGAACCTTTTGGGAGGGAGGACACTTTATATCCAAACCATAACAGATCATATAGGCATATTTTAGCCAAATCTAATTTTTTATCCCATCAAATAGCTTCTGGAAAGGTGGTAGAATGTATGCTATTGGATTGCATGTATTTCTAATTACTGTCTGTATTAGTTAATTTATGTTGCTGTGGAAGAGTTTATTGGGCCTTATGGTTCCGAGGGGAAGCCATGATGGCAAGGAAAGCTTGGCAGCAGTCAGTGCAAACAGGAAGCTGAGCGATCACATCTTTGCTTATATGTAGAAAGCTCGCCCTCAGTGACATGCTTCCTCCAGCAAGGTTGCACCTGTGAAACCTCCGCAGACAGTGGTGCCAATTGGGGACCAATTGTTCAAATGCCTGAACATATGGGGGACATTTCTCATTCAAACCACCACACCATCCCAGTATATAACTAGTATCCTTAGGGTCAAATCTTTAGTTTGAATTTCACTTATGGAAAAGACTGAACTTGGAGAATGAAAACATGGAAGACACTGGAAATTGGAATAATTTGATTTGGTTATAATTTCTGATTCAAGACCGAAGTAGTGGAATTCACAGTTGTAAGTTGTTATTGGGACTACATTATTGGATTCTATGAATGTCAGTATACAGAGTTGAATTCTGGTTGGTAACTCTCCAGATTTATGGAAGCCTGGAGATCAGGGCATAGATAAGGTCTGCCCAGTAATTTAGATTTTTTGAAAAATCTATTTTCTCCTAGGAGATATGCAGAATTAGGAAAACTGCCATTCCTTTAATGAAGTAAATTTTCTCTTCTCTTTGGGTTGTTGTATGAACTGCATCAGCAACTCTGCAGCTGTGCCTATCTTGCTTTCCCTGAACAAAAACAGGCTGGGATCCTTGATGAGGTTGAACCAACATCTTGCACTTATTCTCTACATGATCAGTGAACTTAACTTTTCCCCAGAGCCTGAAAGTACACATCTTTAAAGACGTCTCATTGCATTATCAAGGGTTTGGATGGGGGAGAAGAACTAAGGAACAAGCCTCACTTATAAAATAGTTTTGTATTCTATTATTTACTTCTTTCCTTCAAAAGCCTCTTAAGGTAGAGAATACTAATTTACATGTAAAGAAATGAGCCATCCAATGAATCAGAGACAGAATTTCAACTCTAGTTATCTGATTCAAATCCTCTGAAATAGCTACCAATCTCCTTTTATGCCTAAATAAATGGCTAAACTTGTTGAATGCACAGATAGGCTATTAGTAACCTCATTTTATTCTTTATGGAAAATTATCATATTTGATCTAACCAACGGTGACAGATGTGAGGTACATCAGTCTCAGCAGTTTAACAAGCGCATGACTTATTATTTGAACACTTCCATTGGTATTGGTATCTGAGATGTCTCTTACATAAAATGAAGGGAAAAAGAATTCTGTGGTCTTTCAGGTCGTCAACGATAATGAAATACTGATTCCATTTTCCCAGATGACCTTTGGATAAACAGAAACTACAGTATCTTGTTGCACTTCAGTTATTGAAGAGAGGGTTCTGATTGGGCTTCTGGATTAAACCATTATTTGGTTCTCCACCTAGGAGGAAATCTTATCAGTTGTGTGATGCTCTTCCTGGGGAGACATGAACAAGTATCTTCTCACCCCAGATAACAGAACCAATGACAGACCCAAGTAAGAATACCACCAAAGTCCAACTCGGTGAACTAAAGAATTTTATTGGGGTTACTTACAGGAGTATGGGTGAGGGGCTACTTATTGGAGCAGAAATGACTCAGAGACTGCTGTATCACCAAAAGCCCACCCCCAAATTGGTGACAGTTCACAAAAGTTAAACACTTGGAGTCTACTGCACAACCTGCAGGCAGCTTGATAGGTTGAAGAGTGTCTTTTTCAGGTAGCTCAGTTGTCTTTAACTCTTAGATTAATTAATGTTACCTTCAGGGTTTTTTACTATTCTCTTGTATAAATTCATCTGGAATAGACAATGTCTGAAGCTCTTTCTAGTTCGTATATGTTTCCCCAAATTTTTGTTCTGTGGTCTGTCCACTAAATCCGCTCATTTTCCTATTCTGGACTAGGTAGGCTCCATAGCTTCTCTGGCTGGAGCCTTCTTGTGCCTTTTGACTGGAGAGGATGCCATTTCCGTTCTTCCTAGAAATTTATACTTGAGTGACATATTTGAGTACATAAACTGCCATGGTACAAATAGATTAAAAACTTTAGATTCTTCTTGATATGGAACATTGGTCTGGTCAGCTTTAATATATTATTTAGTAGTAACAAAAATATATTAGTTTCTAATAGAACCAGAGATACTATACTTCTGGCCTCATGTCGTAGAACTATTATATTCAAATGTATATATCCTTAGACGCTTTAAGCACACTACCAATTTTTTCCAAGTCTTATGTGTGTAATTTAATTATACCAGCAACCTTGTATTATAAGCAGGGCAAAGGCTATTTGGTTTTTAAGATGCTTTATTAATTCTGCAAAGTAACTGGTTTTATTGTGACATTTCTCTCTCTCTCTTTCTCTCTCTCTCTCTCTATATATATGTTGGTGTGTGTATGTTGTCCTTCTGTTATTTATTACCCCACCTCCATCTCTAACTTTCTCTGCTCCTCTTCTATATCCATAGTGTCTCCTCTTTTAGTTTCATGTCCTTTTCCCATGCCCCTTGTGTTTCTCTGGGCTAGACTAGCAATAAGTGCTCAGTAATAATGTTTCTTTTCTTATTTTGAGGCCTGTTTATTCATGTAATGAAATTGGATCAATTAAATGTCTGCCAGGTATTACCCTTGGCCACATTCTGTCTGGGATTTGTGCTTCTGTTTGTCTGCTGTGGGACTGAGGCTGAAACATGTACTTGACAACTTGAAGCAAATGCAGAAGTTAGAGCTCAAGTGTTCAGTACTATTATCTTCCTACACAAGCAATTATTGTTGCAAATAGGAATTGCTTGCTGTTTGGGTCAAGATAGACTGCTATTTAATTTGCTTGGTCCACTTATTAAAATCTTCTGTAATTCAAATGGTTAGTCATGTAATTGCTTCCCATTAAGAACTATTATTTTCCTTTTCTTTTTGCTGCATTGCATCAGACTCTCTCCCAAGCATGCTCCAGATATTCCTGATGACAGCACTGATAACATCACCATCTTCACCAGAATCTTGGATCGCCTTCTTGATGGCTATGACAACCGGCTGCGACCTGGGCTTGGAGGTCAGTCATTCTTTGAAGATCTTCTGCTTGGCTATTGCCACATAAACATGTCATAAAATGACTTCAACTGACCAAGAAGCTGATTGTAAAGTTGAGTTTCTTCCTTGTAAACATTGGAAATAAGTTCTAATCCTTCATTTCAGTAAGTGATCCTTCTAGTGTAGTTCTGGAGGATTTCATTACACAAATACATTTACAGCATTATACCTCAAAGTTGATCAAACCCATTTCTAAGAACAAAGTACCAAATCCTTGCTGGATGAAAGGTGTAGCATAAGAAAAACTGGAAATCACTTTTTTTCTAAAAAACAGAATAAATCAAAACAAAAAACTGAGGGACTGGAGAGATGGCTCAGCGATTAAAGATACTAACTGCTCTTGTAGAGGACCAGGGTGCACTTACACACACGCAAGCAATACACTCCTACATATAAAATAATAAATAAAACACTTGAAAAAAAAGCATATGTGAATCATTCATGCTGAAGAGGAGCAATATGTGGTCAAGGTGGGATCTTAGTTTGCCATCAGCTTACTATAATCGTCAATATGATAATAATAAGACACATACATTCTGTTTTGGACTGTGTTGAATGACAAGTATGCAAGTGTGTGCGTTTGATTTACCCTGAAATCCATTTGAGAGACAGTTACACATACCATACTCTGTTATTGCTGAATACTTTGTTACATATTTCTATAGAACAAAGAACTCATTTTAGAAATAATACAGATATAATTGCACTTAATACTCATTTCTAATTTGTATTTTATAGTCAAGTTATTTCTCATAATCAAAGTATCCCTTACAGCAGTTTTCCTTGATTTGGGATTCCATCCAGGACTGAGAATTGTCATGCCTTATTAAGCTATAATCTATTATAGCTACTCAGCATTTCATTTTTGTTTATGATGTCAGTAAGACTCTCTTTGTTCATTTTTGGAAATTAAATCACAAGAGTTAATTGCATCTTTTTCAGGGAATTAGTCAAGAAGAAGACATGATGTGTATGTGCTGCATTTTGCTGATGTGAGTGTTGGTCTACCAGGATAGTCCACCCTAGAATTGGTGTTTTCAGCCCATACATCATTTGTGGAGAGGTGCTTTCAGAGTACTCTGCTTCTTTTCCAACATGAATCCGATAGTTTTAATAAGTATTGCTTGTCTTTGCATGGGTAATGACAGTTCTGGCTCCAAATCCACTATTCCTCTCCATTTGTCAGATGGCATTGTTATACGGAATAACCTTTAATTAATTAGCTAATCATCATCATGAATCTTCTTGTTTGTTCAGTGGATTAGAAAACAATACTATTCACTATGATAAAAAAATTTGCTCCTAATTTCCATATACATCTTTTGTAGAAAATTATGTTAGAACTTCACTTTCTAGTGCTAGATATTCTCGTTGCTATAAGAGTATTATTACTTGTATGATCTTTCAGTGGGCAACACTCGGAAGATAGTAAACACACACATGCATGCACGCATGCATGTATGCAAATACATATACAGGTATGTGCCATATATATACACAGCTGTGTATATTCATAGATATGTGTGTATGAATGAATATAGATATGTATAAAAATGTGCAGAAGTATACACATGTATGTATAAATTACATGTTTATGTCTTTAATGCATTTATAATGATGATACTAATTCCAGCCCAACACGATATTTTCTTCATTGATTTAACTGTTCAGCCCTTGTGGTGATTTGAATGAGAATGTCTTCCATAAGCTCCAAGTATTTGAACATTTTGTCCTCAGTTGGTGGTGCTGGAGGAAGCACATCACTGGGGGTGGGCTTTGACAGTTTTGAAGTCTTGCCAGATTTCTAGTTGCTTGTGCCTGCTTGAAGATGTGATCATTCTGGTTTCTGCTCAGGACACTTCTGCCTCTCCTGGCATTATGGACTCTGTCTAGAACAATAAACTCAATCTTTCCCTTCTATAAATTGTCTTGGTCATGGTGCCTTATCACAGCAACAGAAAGGCAACTATATTAGATGGGGGGAGGGGAGAGAGGGAGAGAGGGAGAGAGGGAGGGAGGGATGGAGGGAGAAAGGGAGGGAGGAAGAGAGAGAGGGAAAGAGGGAGAGGGGAGAGAGGGAGAGAGAGGAGAGAGAGGAGAGAGGGAGAGAGAGGAGAGAAAGAGGGAGGACAGAGGAGAGAGGAGAGAGAGAGAGAGAGAGAGAGAGAGAGAGAGAGAGAGAGAGAACCAGG